GGCGGGCGTGGGGCCATGGGGCAGCCCCGCCGCTGACCATGGCCGAAGGCTGGCGCTGGGCCGGGCCGGGCCGGGGCGCCCCGCGGCCGAGCCCCCGCCGCGCCGTCAGCGTCTGCGAGTCGCTGGACCTGCAGGGCGTCCCCGCCGTCCAGGCCGCGCTCGGCGCCGCGCAGCAGCAGCGCCGGCGGCCCAAGAGCTTCTGCGCGGCGGGGAACGGGCTGCCCGGGGCTCTGCTGCCGCCGCCGCCCCCCGCCCGCGCCCGCGGCCGCCTCCTGGAGCTGCTCCGGCTGCGCTCGCCCCGCAGGCAGAGTCCCGAGGGAGGGGGCGACGGCCCCGATGAGGCGCAGCGGCCGCGCCCCAGCAGCATGACCTTCCTGCCCACCGCCCGGCCGCCGCACCCCGCCGACAGCCCTGGCTTCCTTCGGGGGGGCTCCCTGTGGGGCAGCCGCCGCTGGAACCTCTTCGGGGGCAGCGGCTGGAGCGGCTCCAGCCCCAGGAAGAACTTCAGCTCCCTGCGGAAAAGCTTCAGTTTCCGCCTGCGCCGGGGCCACGAGCTGCGGCGGTCGGAGTCTGGGGGGCTCCTGCGCCCCACGCGCCTCCGCACCAAGAGCGAGGGCGACGCCAGCTCCCTGCACACCTGCCCCAGCAAGCGGGACTTGCTGTACCCAGAGCTGACCAGGGTCGGGGGCCGGCTGCACACCGACCCCGTGCAGACAGGGGGACTCTGGAAACTCCTCACGAGTCGCTTCCGAAGGCGAGAGCGTGGCAGCACTGGCAGCGTGTGCCCCAAAGACCCCCATGGCAGTGTTGAGCCTGTCCTCCTGGGTGGGGGTCCTCTGCGGGCTCTGGGTAAGTAAGCACAGGAGCAGTGCTGGGCTGGCCAGGGCCCCCGTCCCCGTGCTGCCTGCAGGGATGGGTGGCTGTCCCGTCCCGGCTGAGGTTCTGGGCTGTGTGCTGGCACTTGGTTCTGTCCCAGTGCTCTGCAAGGTTTGCACTGGACTGCAGTGAGGTCGTGTGAGTGTCCACAGGGTCACGTTGTACTCCGGTGCCCTGAGAATGGTGCTGGAGCAGCCGTGGTGTGGCTGCTTAGGAGGATGTGCTCTGGGGTCTGGTTCCCTGCTGGCCACACACACCTGGGAGTCAAGCACGTGTGTTGCGTGTCCTACTTGCCCTGGTGGTGACCTAGCAAGGGTGGAGTGTTCCTTCCCTTGCCCCACAACATTGGCAGAATGGGGAGAGGGGTGCTGTTGGTGGGCACCCAGGCAAGTGGGACTTTTGGGAGGTTGCCAGAGCAGAGGTGTGGGGCAGCACAGGGGGTTGGGGAGCCCAAAAATGTGCCTGCAGCCCCCCTCTTGTGAGCGGCTCCGTGGTGCCAGGCCTCATCTGGGGGATGCTCAGTCCTGGCCACCCCTGCCAAGGTTCCTCACTGGGGCTGAGCGGAGACCACGTGTTTGGGAGCACAGAGACCCTCACCGCGTGTGGGGCAGCCTGCAGAGAGCAGGTGTGGCACTACCAGTGATGGGGCAGGGGGACAAGACCCCCATGGGCATTCCCTGGGCACTGGCAGCTGAAGCAGCTCTCGGGTGTTCGACTCTCTGATGTTGGTGGGGAGCTCTCTGGTGCCAGAGCTTTGTGGGGCCTCAGCTGGGGCTGTGCTGCTTGTGCCTCTGTGCCCTGTCCCCTTCTGGGCCCTGTGGAAGGAGCTGCAGGCAAACCCTGTGGCCTGGCAGGGCTGGGAGGCGGCAGCAGCATCCACAGCTTTTTAAGGCATGGAACGCATGGAGCTGGGGGCTGGGCCAAGCTGGCTTCCATAGCTCTGCTCTGGATCTGGGTGTTGTGGAGGCAGTTCTGTGCTTGGCTTACGTGCCAGAGGGATGTCTTAGGGCTGGCAGGCTCTCCAGGGAACCCACATGCTCCCGAGGAACCCGGTTGCTCCTGGGGCAGTGGCTGTCCAGGGCAGCCCAGACGTTGCCCAGGAGTGCTGGGGTCAGGGATCAGCACAGGAGCAGCTCTGCCACTGCCCAGGGAGCTCAGGGAGCGCCTTCCTCCATCCCCATGTGTCCCTCGGGCTCGCTGTGCTCCAGGGGAAGGTTCTGGAGGCTCCGATGGATGCGCCATGAAGCCAAGGGCCGGGATGCTGCTGCGCTGCGGGGTTCCGGTGCTGGCAGGACGGCCGGGCCGTGTGCCGCTGCCGGCTGGGTGGCAGGAGGTTCCCAGGAGAGGGGCGGCTGCGCTCATGGCTGGGGAATGTGGGTGTATGCGGGCAGGGAGGGCCGGGCCCTGCCCCTGGAGCGGGGGGCCTGTTCCTGCTTGCCGCTTCCAGTGGGAGCTGTGCCAGCAGCAGCCGGCCTGGCGGCCGCATTCCCAAAGAAACCGTCGAGGTTAAGCGCTTGCTTGGCGTCCTGTGTCTCACCTGGCTCCTCCACGAGACAGGTAGGAGCTCCCTTTGGATCTGTCTTTGGGAGACCTTGTTGAGGCTTCTGTGGGGAGTGGTGTGGGTGGCTTGGGGTCCCTGCAGCAGTGACCAGCCAGCTCATGCAGGACTACTGCTCGTTGCAGGGATTATTGTTTGCCACTGTGGCTCATGCTGGAGGCAGAGGCTCAGGATTGACCTCTCCAGGCTGCCACTGGCACTGTGGCTCCTGGCAGGAGTCCCTGGTGCTGCGAAGCTCGCAGCGGGTTCAGTCACGCTGAGAACACAGTTCATTACCTGCCTGGTACCTGCACAGTCCCTGTACCCACCAACCCTGTGTCCTCCTGGGGACAGCGAGGTCGGTGGTGAAGTCTGCACAGCAAAGCAGTTGCTGCTTGTCCTCTCTTGTGCCCCATCTTCCCGTTGTCTCTCTGCTCAGAATGTTGGTCCATGGCTTCCTCTGGGGGGTGGGAGCTGTGGCAGGGCCGGAGGGGCACAGCCTTAGTGCCTTAGTGCTCAGGGGGTCTTTGCCCCGCTCCTGTTACAGTCTTGCAGGCCCATGGTGTTCCAAACACCCGCTTGACATCCCACAGACTTTGATGCTCTGTGTGGGCGCTGCCCACCTTGCCCTGGGAGAGCTGCTGGTGCAGCCCCAACTTGCCCTCCTGGGGGGTGCAGCTGCAGTTATCAGCCCTTGGAAAAGCTGGATGTAGGAGTCCTGGCAGAAAGCCAAGCCAGCGCTCTCTGTTTCCAGAACCTGGAGTGCTTTGTTTACAGCACGCTGTGATAGCCATCCAGCACCACGATCTGCATCCAGACATACCCACAGAAGTCAGGGGGATGTTCCAAGTGCTGCTCCCAGCCCTGGAGGGGTTCGGCTGGGATTGAGGGGTGATGGGGGATTTCAGGGTTTGTTACCCAAGAAAGATGTAAAGAGCTGATCCTTTTGTAGTGGGCGAGGGAGGGCAACCACCCTTGGGACTGGAGAGCAAAGTTAACACAGAGTCTGGCCAGCTTAGACTGACCCAGGTGATCATGGTCAGTGGTTCAGAGCATTTCTGGGTATCCAGGTGTTGGCTGGTGCCGTTCCAGAGAGGCTCTCTAATAAGTATGGTCTTGGAAAAACTGGACTGTTTTGGAATTGGAGTTGTCCCTGTTCATGAAGGGACTTTGTGATGGGTACAGCATCTCTGATGGCTCAGGAGGCATTCCTCATCTGAGGGAACAGCATGGAGCTGCCTCAGGGAGGTTTAGGTTGGATATCAGGAAAGAGCTCTTTCCCCAGAGGGTGCTGGCACTGCCCAGGCCCCCCTGGGAATGGGCACGGCCCTGAGGCTGCCAGAGCTCAGGGAATGTTTGGACAACACTCACAGGCACAAGATGGGATTGTTGGGGTGTCTGTGCAGGGCCAGGGGTGAGACTTGTGGGTGTCTTCTAGTTCAGGATATTCCGTGATTCTGTGATCACAGCTGTGTCCCCTCTCCCAGAGAGATGCCCTGCTTTTTGAGGTTGTTTAGGGTACCTCCCTTCACTCTCGTGTGTGGAGTACTGATGTGCAGGGCATGTGAGGGAAGGCTTCTGAGAGAAGACAGAACTGTTTTCTCATGAATTGAGTGAAGTTTGCATAGTGAGTTGGGTAGGTCGTGATAAGTATCACCTCATGTTGGTACTTGCCTTGGTTGAGCTGGGAGCCTTGATGAGAGGCAGAGGTGTCTTGGTGGGGTTAGGGATGCCTTGGATGCTGATGCCAGTCTGGTGTTTGCACTTTGGCAGAGCCTGAGAGTTCTGGAAGGTCAGGGGGGAGCTGTTGGGACAATACTCCGGAGAGCTCAGTTCTTAGGACGAGGTCAGAGGGTGTGCGTGGTGGGTGCAGAGGTGTCTGACTGCAGTCACAGGCTGCCTTAGGGAGGGGGAATCCTGTGCCTTCAGTGTTCACCTGCCAGTGTTCGTGGAGCTGCACAGCTGGAGCCGAGGTCAGGCACATTGGGAAGAGGTTTTTGCTGGAGTGCTGTGATGGGAGGTTGAGTTACCCGTCTTTCTGTGTCACTCTCTGCTGGGTTTTCCCTTCCAGCAGACCCTGTCCCACCATCACAGCAGGGTTTAGTCTGGGTCTTTTGACAGTGTTTGGATGGGGGCTGGAGAGCAGCAGGTGCCAAGAGTTTGAAATGCCTGGATCTTCCAGAGTCTGCGCTGACCTCAGAGCACAGTGACACCAGCTGCTGCTGCCCATGGCATGGTGACAAAGCAAGGGTGGCAGTTCCTAAGCATGCCCTTTCCCAGAGAGATGCAGCATTGTCTCCTTTAGTTGCTGCAGAGTGTTTAAAGCTCTGCTGAGATAATCCTTGCCAAAGTCGTGTCCTGCAGTGGGTTTCCATACTGGCTCAGTGCTGACTGGAACATTGGGACCAAGCACCTGTGCTGGTCCTTGACCTGGAGAAATCCCCCTCCTGCCAGCGTTGCTGCGGTAGAAGCTTTATCAGGCTGGCCTGGGAGGGGGGGCTGTGCCCAGGAAGGGTGGCTGTGCCCAAGCACGCCGCCTCTGCCTCCCTTTGATCTCTGTGTGTGATCAGGTGGGTCCATTCGTGTGACCGCAGTGGTGGTCACAAGTGGCCTCAGTGTGTGTGGCCTCTGCTGTGTTTGCGCAGCCTCTGACCTGGTTTCGAGGCTGGCTTCATGTCCAGGGTTGCAGTGTCCAAGGGAGTTCCATCATGGCTTGGATAATGAGTTGGTTAATTATTAGTTGCTGTGTAGGGAGACCAGATGTGTCTGGCACTGGCGCTTCTGGAGCACAGGGTAGATGAACCTGCTGCACATCATCCCCTGGAGCGAGCAGCTGGGATGAGGAGATGAATTTGGCCGGCCATCCCCTTTCTCCTCCCAGCCTCCCCACAGCATGTGGGTGCTGGGAGCTGTGGGTTTGTGGCTGAGCCCCCTCCAGGCTGTCTTCAGGGCACAGAGAGCTGCGGTGTGCGAGCTCTATGAGGGAGTGTGCTGATCCTGCCTCCTTGGTGCGCGACACTGCTGTCCCACAGCAGGGTCTGGTCTGTAGGTCCTGAAGGTGTCCAGGATGACCAACTGACCAAGGGACATCAGCTGCAGAGTGCCTTCTTTATGTCCTTCTTCTGTCTGTTCTTCTGCATGGCAGAGGCTCTGCCCATCCCACCTTCCAAATTCCCACCTTCTGCAGTAGAGCTGCCTGTGCCGGGAAACCTCCATCAACAGAAGCTTCTGGGGAGTAACAGAATTTTCCTGAATTTTCCTAGGCCGGTCTGGACTGATCTCCTCTTGTATGGTTGTGTGGTGGAGCCAAGGATGCTGTTGGGCTGTGCTGAAGCTCTTGGAATGACAGTGGTTGCCTGAGCCCATGGCTTTGGCTTTGGAGGTCAGGTACACCTGGTGAAGGTGTTGAACTGCAGCACGGACATCCTGGTCCCTT